TATATATATATATATATATGATTACTTATGAAAATATTTTTACTATCGACAATAGAAATTACAAACAAAATAGACGTATCAATTATCGCAAAATCTGTTATAAATTTTCGCAACGCGAGATAGAAGTTCCTTAAAAGATCCAACGATATTAATAAGACAGATAAGAATGCATTTTCGCAGGATTAAGTATCACTTTGTTATTGTTAATCATCAAGCATCCATACTACAATACAGAGAGAATGTCATGTAAAAAAATCTATGCATAAATCTTCTACATTTAAGAGTACACTGAGTAATGGTAAATTAAACTATGAAATTTGACATTAAACCGCTTAATTCAGTTTAATGTCAAGTAATTTTTTATTAGTATGAATTTTATAATTCTTTTAATTTTCAACATTAAATATACCAGTACTCCATGTGAGATATAATAATATAATATATAGATAAAAAAACATTCATAACAGGCGAATACATATAATACATTTTAAATTATTAGTATATTATATTTAATGTTATATTAACACTTTGCGATCTGCGTATACACATCACATAGTGACAACATGACTGTAACAAACTACGGCTATACGAATTAAACCGCAAATTGAAGCGCAAATTAAACAACGGTGAACAGCAGTGCTTTAATCATGTCATTTAATTATATATACAATTGTTTTTGCATTACCAAATACTGCAATTAAAGTAATTACTATATATGTTTTCAGATATCGACTTTCAGTCTAATTGCAATATGCCGCAGCGCGGATGAATCCACGGATGAATTAAAATTACTCACAAAATTATCGCCGGTAAGCAGTGCACAAAATGTATATCCGGATAATACACGGAATCAAGGAGATTTGGTTGAATCTGCGAGTGATCGAAGTAAGAAAATAGCAATACCTTATTCATACTTACATATATATTTTATCAACATTTACGCATATATATAATTTATGATGATCTTATGCATGATTGACATTTATTATGATACTTATAATTTATTTATCATTATTCATGATCTATGGACTTATTTTTATTTACGGATAAAAAAGTTGGAACAGTTCTGCTTACAACGATTAAACGCGCGGAATAATTCAAGGAGATCGCTAGCGCATGACTATACGATCAAACTTTTTTGATGTGACAATTTAATGGCACCTTCGTTGCATAACATAATAGGGTTTATTGTACATGGACATTATTCCATGATTACATTAATTATTCTGTAATTTTTGAAACATAGTTTGTTGCATGAGATTCTTTTGAAAGTTGCAGAAAATGCGGAAGTACGCATACTGAAGTATTTTCTTTGAAGTGAATCACTTCTATTTCTTCCCGAGGAGGAAGTCCTTCGGGTGGCTCGTCATATTAGCATCTTATTACAATCTGCGATGTTTTTTCCGTTTTTGTAATGGGAAGCACCCGACTTTCAAAGTCGAGAGCGTGAGAATGGCAGTGACACACTTACTTAATATGCTGATTACTCATCGCACTACTATCCTTACATCGTGCGGAATTGCGATCGATTATTATACCTTTATCACGTTTGTTTTTTTCCCGTAATCTGCACGTGTTTGAATTTCCGCAATTCGTAATTAAATTCTAACAAATACGCATGATGTACATAATTGTATCATTAATTTTGTAAACTCTATCGATTACCGAGGAAGAATGATGTACTCGTGGGAAGTCTACACAAATTTTAAACCGTCTCATTTCGGAAAACTTTAATTTTACACGTTTTTACACAAAGTTAAATACTGACCGAATGTATTAAAAATTTATATTTGCGAGTATTTTGTTTTTTTTTTTAATTTATTATTTCTATTTTTTCTTACATGATTCTGATCTCAAAGAAGAACAAAAATTTCAAAAAAAAATTTTTTTTTAATCACAATCTTTTAAATTTTAAATATATCTGTAAAATTAATCTTCATAAAAAACTATAATTTTTTTAGAAATTGAGTCTTGATTTCAGTTATTATTCATTCATATAAAATATCGTAATTTATTATTCATATAAAAAAATATTTGTGCTAGCGTTTCATATAACTAAAGGTGGATATCCTGGATCAATTGGAGGATATCCCGGGGGATATCCTGGAAGATATCCCGGAGGATATCCATATGATACGGGAATCATTGGATCCATTTATCCTAGTACATCATATCGTGGCAGCAACCTGATTCCAGGATATGGAGGTTATCTTGGGCCAGGAGGACTCATTGGCGGCGGGTAAGATTTGATTTTATCAAATTTTTTATTACAGAATGATATTTAGAGAAGAACAATATTTAGGTATTTAAAATATGAGTACATACTCTTTAAAGTTTAAATTTAATTATAGTTACAATTAATAGATATCAGTAGAATCTACTATGGCCGCGATCCTATTCACGCTCACAATGCTTAAAAATTGTTTCATCCTTGTTGTTTGTCAAATGTTGAACAAAGACAAATGATGCTCATGAACGTGTCAGCATGAATCAGATCTATAGCCTATATGTGTTGTATTTATTTTAAATATTAATATTAATATTAATATTAAATATAATGAGTATATTTTCACAATTTTTATTCTTAGACTATGTTTAAGAAACAAATAGATAAACATGAACAAATAAAATAATATAAGGAT